TACATTATTACTTATATTATATTAATACTATTAAAAGGCTGCCATTTGAAAACTAGTTGAGATTCGACCTTGAAATTTTAGTACATCTTCGAAGATATAAACTTTTGAAAAGTGCAAAGAAAATTCGATTTTTTCAAAGTTTCACACTGATAAGGCCCCTTAAATCATCTGTTCATCTGTTTCTTTTTTCAGTCTGAAGATCCCCCCTAGAAGCTATGGTTAAGGTAGGTCGAAATTTTCACTTCATATTCTTATTTTAAAATAAGCCCCTGTAGGGCCCTCTCTAGATACGTTACCCAAATAACGAGCTACCTTAAGTACTTTGAAACCATTAACCAAGATTTAGTGGATCTATGACCAGTATTCATATTCTCTACTTATTCTTAAGATCGTTTTAAGCATTTGCTTAAGTTCCTATTTCCTATACAAGACGTGGACATGGAAATATAGTATAGACAGGGATAGCAAATACTTAAGACGATCTTAAGAATGCCTACGTCTCTTTCTTTATGATCCATTTTCACCTACACCTTGGTTGCTAATAATATATCTGCAGGTTCGTGAAAGGCCTAAGCTAGGGGGATGCGTTTGTGTTATGCGAAACGTAGGTATATGTGCAGTCGTCAGATCGATACCTAGATGCGCCTCTCTGTTTTGACAAAGCGGTCGATCAACTCGCGTGCGCTTCGGGTCAACTCGGAGGGCGTGTGTTTAAATCGCGTTAAAATCGTTCAACTCCGGGCATGGCATGGATATCATCGATTTGCACATTGCTGATTTTCCATCTCGCTCAACCCCCCCGGCTAGCCGATACGCCGCGTCCCGCGTCGCACGCACACGCACGCGCACACGCACACGCGTGCCCCTCCTCCTCCCCCTCCGACCGGGCGAAAACAGAAGGTATTTTCATTACTCTCATTGATGGGTTTTCCCTCCGCATTTATTCGCGAGGACGCTCGCCTGTCCTGGGTAAAAGGGACGCGAGGTCGAAAACTGGAACGGTGAATGATATAAAATGTAGGCCAGAGGTGAACGGCACTAGCGTAACGCGTAGGAAACGTTTGCGCATCTGCGCAGATGTTCTACAGATTTATGAAGTTCAATAATTTGTCAGGGATACGACAACCGTTTGACCGATGAAAAATAGCCCGCTCGACGCATCGGTTTCGCTCCTCATTACGCAATCCAACTGACATCCGTAAAGAAAACGTTGGTCGATTGAAATGGTCGACTGTGTCGTCTCGTTAACGACTCCTACCGGCGTTATTCAGTCTCCCACGAGATACGTTTCAATTATCGACAAGCATTTCATCACCGAGATCGTATCAATTTCGATGAACGGTGATAAGGCTTTTTCATGTGTTTGATCGATTCGCTGAAAACGTGTTGCCCTTGTCGGATCCACTGATCCAAACCATCGACTGTTCCATAGAAGATATTTAGATATTCCTCAGGATCTCAATTGATTAATTTCTAAATTCGATTGATCGTATCTTGTATTAGATTGCAACTTCTTGCCAGCAGACGACATATTTCATAGGAATTTCGATTGATCAATGTGCATCGTTCATGCATGGCTGCTAGCCTTTTTTAATCGAACGACGATAACTCCTTCAGTTGTAACTAGGACGATTTTGGTATCGTTGGGACAAGGGCGGTTCGAGTGATAATAACAAACGGAGTTAACAGCGAGAGGGGCGTACCGGTGCAATTGTGCAATGGAAGAGTCGAAAGAATAGCGACGGTGAAAGAGGGCTGGAATGGAAGAGGGTGGCGTAGATCGGACCGCGACGGTGCTGCTAGTTTAGTAGTTTTCAATCTCCGACGGGGTAAAAGCGCAAGCGCCGGTGTCCTTTCCCGAAGCTCGCACTCCACGCCAGTAATCCGTGGAATGCGAAGGTAGAAGGTGCTAGTTTTCTCGAGGGGACGCAGCAGGTATCTAGTGTAAACTACCCTTGTTAGCCCTCGACATGCTAGATCCTAGTAAATAAATAGATAATGTCGATCCGTGGTGTCTCAGCCAGGCTACGTTTACTTTGTCCAGTTAGCCAGCAGTCTGTCCCTCGTCCAATTTTTCGCATGCTTCCACATACACGGCGTGTTGTTGTTCACCGCGTTACACCTGGCACACAGAGACCTAGAAACATTCCTCCCTAAAGACAGCGGCGTTAAAACAATTTTCAAGCAGATCGAACTTTCTCACACTCCCGTGTCCAATATATCTCCTGTCTCCAGATTTTTATTCTCAACTTCATCCCCTTCACTGTTTCTACTCTGAACACTTCGACAATGCAATCACAGTGATTAAGTAGTTTGAAATTTATGACAAACAATTGATTGTCTTATCGATGAATACAGTTTCGAACTGCTTCGAAATTTGCACTTTCACATAGAGACAAACTATTTCAGCTAGACATTTCTAGATCTGTGTAATTTGTACTTTTGTATCAGACATTACCCCCGATTGCTCAACCCATCTGCACTCCCGACGTCCCATTAGCCGCCGTTCGGTTCATTCATCCACGAGTGTGCGACGATCGGTTCACGATAAACAAACGGAAATCGCTTTGGGAAACGAGATACACGTTTTCGTCACGAGTCTCGCCCACGTCGTCTGGGTTTCGTTTTTTTTTTTATTTTTTTCTTAAAGACAGACGTTCGCGGTGATACCTCGTATCGAGAGGAAGAAGTCCCACAGAAGGATCCTTGATTAAAAACGTAAGACGCAATTCCGGATACGTACAGTTATAGTGTTCGCCGGGAATTGTGCGAAGCTTAACGACGACGATGTCACATTCCGTCGACCGGCGGAAATTGATTAATTAAAACGCCGCCAATAATACGCCTCTCGATTTTGTTACACAGCCAACAACAACAACCGGCTGTGACTAACGCCGAGCATTCTCATCCCGTTTCTCATTTAACTCGAATCCATTGTCCCCACAAACGTAGTGACCAACAAACACCAGTGACGGCGATTAGTTGGAAAGTACCGAGGCACGATTCTGTTAAAGTCGCGAATCGATCGTGCGATTCGCACATCCGTGAATGCAAGTGCGTCTCTCCTTTAATACGGATCGAATTACGGTGAATCTTCGCTGGTAATTCTTAACACGTTAATTGCAATCTGTTTAACGAAATACAAACGAGCAACGCACGTTGACGTAAACGTGTTTCTTACTATCTACGTATGTATGTAAACCAGTGCCTGTACTCGCCGCATGACGTTGTGTTATTTTTCTCCGGTTACAGACGAAACGCCATCGGAAGCGATGGTCGATTAATAAAGAGAATAGAAAAGAAACGAAGGGAGATTGTCGACGATCGCAAACGGGAACACGGGAGCGAGAGTGACCGCGGTTAAAATGAAGTCGAGGCGTTTAGAGGAGATCGAATTCGTATGGATCAGGCATTTGCGCGCAAGTATCCGGCCGAAGTCCGGTTAAATCCGTTGAACATCCTCGGGTTCGGAGGGCACGCATGTCGATTTTCATCGCGTGCCTTTTACTCGGGAGTCTGATTTGAGAGAGGAGACATCGATAGGCCACAGAAGTCCCTCCGTTCGGGAACCGAAGTCATTTCGGTTTCTCACGGAGGAAGTATTTGAAAGAGAAGAGAAAGGAAAAAACGAAGATAAGGGAGCTGATCAACAGAGAACGAAAATACGATCGTTTATATTTCAAGCGAAGAGTAACGATTGGAAAAAAGGCAACCGAAAAGAAGAGAAAAGATATTTAAAGAAAAAACAAGAGAGTGAGAGAGAGAGAGAGAGAGAGTAGGACTGCGAAGAATAGAATAAAAGAGCCTCGTGACGGAGGGGCTTCGTACGGCCCTGGCGCGACTGCGGCATTGCACCCCCACAGGGGGTTCTCTGCCAAATTCACCGAATCCGCCGTCGACCCCGGAACACAGAAACCACGTGAGTACAAGAGAATTCGTAAAACAGATGGTGTTGACTATAGTAGACGATAGGAGGTTGCGCTAGGTAGACTCCGAATCGATCTTCGTTTATGGGAGTCGCGTGGCTCTACCAACCATTTCACTGCTTCGCTTCGCCGGTGTCCTTAGACAAACTTAATTTGCTTAACGAATCATTCGTCCGAAGTCTTAAACCGCGGTTGTCAATCGCGCTAGCTGGCCAAGTAGCAAAGTAATGCATTCGATTCGAACGAATAGACATTGTGTATTTAAGATACCGTAGAAGGAAGTCTGATTGAGTGATGAATAATTCGGGTACAGGGATGTCTGGTGGAGAGTCGCGGGTCTGGCCGTGCAAAGGGCGGTAGCTCGCGGGGCAATGGGACCGATTCGGCTGAGCCGCAGTCGCAGTCGCAGCCGCAGTCGCAGCCGCAGTCGCAGGCAACACGTGTCTCGAACAGCGCGCATCGTCACAATGGAACGGAAAATTCGCGGGACACCGATCTACTGTCCCACGCGGCATCCGCGCTCAGGAGACTGCACTTTAAATCCGCCGGCGGCAGCCGGAGCTGTCGCACCGTGCCGAAGGTCGTGGTCATGGGGTCGAGCACCGCCTCCGAGACCACGATCAACACCAGCACCGACAGCGCAAACACTATGCTTACGATGGTAATCTCTATACACGAACATTTCAAATTAACGTTCGACCACACGCGACAAAACTCGCGCGCATTCAAATAGACAGAGTCGAGAATAGTTTGATTATTTAAGGTGGCAACGATCACTATTGAATTACACCAATACCTCACTTTGCGTCGTGGTTACGTTCGAAAAAAACACGACGCAAATTGAAACGACGCAAAGTGAATTACGATTTTCTATAGCAAACCATGTAAAGATCGAAGATAGGTTACAGGGTTACGAAAATACTACTTTTTAAAAAGAAAATTGAACAAAGTAAACANACCTCGAAAATCTAACGACGCACAGTGAAAATTAGTACTAATTAAGCAGCGACGCAACTTCGAAAAAACGCAAAACGAAACGACGCAAAGCGAGGTATTGGTGTACATAATTGACATAGTAACTTCATGTCCGATGGTGGAGGAGGCTGACTGAGAGAAACTTTTCTTTTCTCCGTCTGTTTTAAGCGTCTCGTACAAATTTGTACATCTAGTAACAATAAAACTAAGCCAGTTTAGGCTTATGTTAGTTTCCCCTAGGGCGACAAAATTCAAAACGAGTAATGAGTCTCGATCTGGCATCGATGAACACAATTTTAATACATCAACAACGTAGACTTTCTACTGGTTTTGAATTTTCCCCTAGGAGAAACGAACATGATCCCAAACTGGCTCAGTTTCAATGTTACTAGCCGTACGACGATTGCCTTAAGAAAAGTTTCTTTCCGACGGAAGTACGGTTGGTTCCAGGTGACGACGACGGACGGTGAACAACCGGACGACAGTTTCGATTTGATGGACATCCCTTCGGAGATGTCACCACCCGCCGCGTCATCAGATCCTCCCCCGCCGTCCGAATCGAATCGTTCCCCCCAGCCCCCGTCCCCGCCGCCTCTTCCGTCTTCGCCGACGAACGAATATTCGGACGAGAAGGGATTACAATCCAGCCCAGAAATTCCCATCCCCTGCCTGAACAACGTCCGGACGTCCAGCGTGTCGAATCTACTGGAGGAAACGGAAGCTCCACCGGTCGACCCGTTGCCGCCCGTCGCCATCCAGAACACGATTAACGAAATCACTATTAACAGGGTGTCCGTTTCTGGTAGAACGCCGCCTCTCCCCGACCTCAGGGCGACCGATTTCTTCAGGTTCGTCTGTGACACCTACACTTTTCTCTTCTCACGCCATTAGCATTTCATTCATCACGAATCGTGATCTGATCATCGTTAATAGCGATTTCTGGAGAGAAGAGAAAAAAAAAATATTGAATTCCTTGCAGCACACCTGTGAGAGGTTCAGTGGACGCTGGCCAACCGGATGGCCTGCACTCGATGGTGTCTCTGATCCTTGAGAAGACACGCGAAGAACGGATCATCGAACTGTCGGATGACTCTCCACCCGGGAAAAGCAGTGGCGAGGAAAAGCCGAACGTGAACGTCACCACGAACCCTTTAGACATATCTCTTATCGGGCCGCCTCGCACTGGTAACGATCAATCGACCGACGGTGCTGGAAAAACCACCAGCGGCAAGTCTCACGGAAAAACTGCGGGTGAGTCGAGAGTGAACGTGTCCCAACGGCATACGCGGCGATACGGTTTTATCGATATTCGATATCGATCGCAGGTGATACATTATTTGCAGTGTCGTTATTTTTTTTGTTGCTCGATTGTTGGAAAAAGCGAGACGTGGCTCGTGTAATGCAAACCAGAAAAGAAAAGAAAAGAAAAGAAAAAAAAGAAAAAAAGAAGCGGGATGAAAGTAAAAGTTCTAAGCGAAACGCGAAAGAGCGGACGATTCGAGCTCGGGTTCGTGGCCGTTTCTCGTTAAGAATATCAATTGTGTTGTTTTCTTTCAGAATCGCATCCCCTCGTTTCAACCATTCATTCATGGGTCAGGCTCTTTTTCCCGTTTTGCGCAATAGGTATAATTGTTAATTGTGCTCGAGTTACGCTTCGCCTCGAAGCCGAGAGATCGCCCGACCGAATTTACGACTAGTCGAAATTCGCTTGACTATCGAATAAAATTCCCTAGATCTTGTTAACTTGGTTCATAGGATTCGGTCAGCGATCGATCGGATTCGTATTAAATACCGTAGCATTTATTCGTGGAACGCACCACCGATTATGCGATTCACCATCGTCTCCGTTGATTGTCGTACATCTGTATTGCGCTCAGTGATTCGAGTAACAGATTACTAACCTCCATTCTCATGTTTTCATTTCACTCACTTATCGTTTGTGTCTCACATTGTCTATCTCGATATCTCCATTGTTTGTCTTTCGCATATCTCTGTCTTCTCTCTTTCTCTCTCTCTTCTCTCTCTCTCTCTCTCCTCGATCATAAAAGGTCAGAGGAAAAATGTTCTTCTGGACAAAAGTATTCGTAAATCGTGAAATTTCACCGTAAGTTGCTTTGTATCAGCTAGCGTGCTAAACACAGCTTTTCGTTACGCTTTCCGTATAGGCTTAAATGAGATATTATACGGAATCACGTCGGATCGACCCGGCCTCTCGAGGAGGAGAGAACCATACTCGCCTAGAACATTAAAACATCGTGCAAACACAAACTATCTGTTTTTATCGGGTCCCGCGGAAAGTTTTTCACTTCGTTCGCCACGAAAGTTGGCAATCCGCTTGAAGGCCACGTCGCCAATGCGGACAGAATCCAANCGTTTTAAGAAAATGGCGAATAATAAACTACATGAATAACAATGCAAGGAAATTAATAACAATTAATACATTTAATCGTTATTCAAATGGAATGGATGGGGAAATGATAGATTGTTAATAAGCCGAGCGTTCGGATCCGAGCGAACGCTCCCGATTCGTAGCTCACGCCAACCGAGTGCTCTGATTGGTCGGGGTTTTTTATTAATAACTCTTCAACCACGCCTTGGATAACTTTCTCGCTAAGGAAAATGTTGTTTAAAATTACGTCAGGAACTTTCCATTTCAATATCTTACACTAGTTTTGGTAGTTTTATTCAAGTACTGAATTTTGCCCGAAAATTCCGCACTGTGCGTCGTAGAGAATCGAAACTGGCACAGATCGCCGGCATATCGGGATCGAGTATATTTTGGCGAACTTTCCTAGCGCGCAATTAAACCGTCGCGCCGTGTCAAGAACTTTTAACGGGATCCGGTAGATACACGTACATACGTATGTATGTATGTATGAATGTATGTATGTTTGTATGTATGTATGTATGTACATGTGTTGTTGCATCGCTCAATTCTGTCAAGGCTTCAGAAAACAACGTATGCTTGAATTTCGGTACTAAGTGCGCATGTTTTCGTCGATATATCTGCCGATTAGTCAGAGTAACATAGTAAACGATCTAAGTATATAGCTGTTGCAAAATTCTATCGAATTTCCGCCCGATCTTGTTTTCAACCGATGCGAATACTGACGCTGCCTTCACCCCAGGAACAGATCGTCTTCCTTTCTTCTCGTAACTCGTCAAATCCGTTACCTCAACCTCGTCCCCCCCCCCCTCATCCTTCCCATCTTTGATCTTTCCACCCTCTTTCGAGCCGAGTATGTATATTCGGTTCTGATCGATTAATCAATATTCCCAACGAACCGTGTGTGTCAATCAGTCGTGTAGTCTAAAGATACACGGATTCCCAAAATACCGACAACGAAAGGAAGAGGGAAAAAATAAAAGAACGGGTAGGCAAAGGCGAAAGAAGGGAAAGCGTTCTTCAATTTACGAACCCTTCGATTCTCTTTCGAGAGATAAACGTTGAAAACGTTACGCGACGGGCGGCAATTCTGCTTGAGAGACACGCACGCGAAATAAACAGACCAGTGTTGGTATCGTACAAAACGCTTGGCCGTTGTCAATTGTCAACACAAGTTGATTCTAGAACGATGAATATGATTTTTGAGTCGTTCTAGGATTGACCCGCGGAAAACAATAGCGAGGATCGGCGAACGGAAACGGAAGTGAAGATAAGACAGAAAGAACTGTACTTTGGAAGAGCGATAAACGAAAATCGAATAAAACAAAAATGAGAGAGAGAATGAAAAAGAGAAAGAGAAGGGGGAGAGGAAGAGGAAAGAAAAACGAGGTCGATTCCGTGTTCGTTCGTACGATCGTCAGGAAGAACAGTAAGAAAAACGAGAAAAATCATATAAAACATGGAAGATAACGGCAGAGTAGCTCGCGAAAACACGGTTCGTGGAAAAGGACGAGAAAGTATCGTAGAAATTACGGTACACCGGAAGTCTTTCTCACCGAGAACCGTGGACCGGATGTGGAGGATAACAAGTGCTTTAATTTCCAATACCGAAAAGGAGGCGGCACGGGTGGAAATAAAAGATCGGCACAAGCGGCGACTATAGTGGTCCAACAGCCATCTTTGTCTATGGACGGATCGGCCGGAGCGGCGACCATATTGCTACACCCGGAACTGGACGTTAGACGAAGGGAAGAGAACATGAGGCAGTTATTGGACGTCGCGAACACGTTGACGTTGCAGGAGATACACGATTTCGAGATGAGGTTCGATCCTTTAATGGCCGCCTAGTTTCGTACATGAAGTAAAAACATAAGGTGTGTTCTTGCGCATCCATTTGAACATCCATCTGTACACGGACACTTCCACTCGTTGGCCATTTTGGATTTCTAACCAATCACGCTTCATATTAAAACAGAGTGTAGTAGGCAGATACGTCGAAACCCTTTTGTTTAAATATGTATATATATTTGGATAATATTGAATACAGCTCGTGAACATTAACATACATAAGGAACATAACTCTTAAAGCTTCTCGAACACGACTCGTCTCTACTCGTCCAGACCTGTCGTTCGTTCTTCAAACTTCGGATCACTTCGGCTCATTCCGCATCGGACTCTCGCTGATACACATTCTTCCCGTACACACACTTCCGTATACATCCCTAGCCGAATAACTATACTTACTACAAGAGCGAATTTTAAAATCGTAAACATGTCAAAAATTAGGTTCTCGGAGAGTAATATATATGCGTGTTTGAAATAAACAATAGATCATCGTACTTCCAATATGGCCGATGAGTGGAAGGCGCAAACAGCGACACATTTGAACACGCCGGAAGAACACACCTTATGTTTTTACATCATGGTTTCGTATACGTTCACTATTGCGAATGATGAAATCGTTTTAGATATGGGAGTCCGCATCACAGCAGATCTCAGTCGGTAAAGACGCCCGGTAGCCGGTCGTCCGGACGACCGAATTACCTGTGTCTCCCACAGCAGCGATCCAGGGTGGCCAGCATGCCGAACACGGGCGTCGAGGAGGAGTATTACAGGCTGCGACATTTCAGCATAACCACCAAGGGTGTCGTGAATCGAGGGGACTCGCTGAAAAGTAGGAGATCCCGGTCCAACAATAGCGTAGCGTCGAGCAATTCGAGGTGAGACTTCGGTATTCTCGCATTTCCGACCAAGAAACCCTATATCTGTTTCCTGAGTGACTAGGAGCCTTCCGCGCAGTTTGAAAGATGGTGGAGGCCGCAGCAAACGTCTCGGACCTCCCACCACGCGTTAATCGCCGCCTCACCGACTACGGTTCATAATACACGGTAGGATAATAAGGACACGCTTCTATTGGGAAGTGGTAAATATGGGTGGGAGACAGGGGTCTCATAATTTTTCCCGCACGGCTCGCTTCCCCTCTTTTTCGCCCGTATTTCGATCCCCACTACTATTCCCCTCACGCGCCTTCGCGAAGCGAACCTATCAAGTACCAGTCCCCACCATGGTCGTGTCGTCCCCACTTTCCGGCCGAGGGATAAATTCTGAGACCCCTGGTGGGAGATGCGCAGAACGACCGAAAACTGAACCGTGCCGACTCCTAGTCACTCAGGAAATAGAATATACATCCATGATGTAAAAACATAAGTTGTGTTCTTGCGCATCCATTTGAACATCCATCTGTACACGGACACTTCCACTCGTTGGCCATTTTGGATTTCTAACCAATCACACTTCATATTAAAACAGAGCGAATTTTAAAATCGTAAACATGTCAAAAATTAGGTTCTCGGAGAGTAATATATATGCGTGTTTGAAATAAACAATAGATCATCGTACTTCCAATATGGCCGATGAGTGGAAGGCGCAAACAGCGACACATTTGAACACGCCGGAAGAACACACCTTATGTTTTTACATCATGGTTTCGTATACGTTCACTATTGCGAATGATGAAATCGTTTTAGATATGGGAGTCCGCATCACAGCAGATCTCAGTCGGTAAAGACGCCCGGTAGCCGGTCGTCCGGACGACCGAATTACCTGTGTCTCCCACAGCAGCGATCCAGGGTGGCCAGCATGCCGAACACGGGCGTCGAGGAGGAGTATTACAGGCTGCGACATTTCAGCATAACCACCAAGGGTGTCGTGAATCGAGGGGACTCGCTGAAAAGTAGGAGATCCCGGTCCAACAATAGCGTAGCGTCGAGCAATTCGAGGTGAGACTTCGGTATTCTCGCATTTCCGACCAAGAAACCCTATATCTGTTTCCTGAGTGACTAGGAGCCTTCCGCGCAGTTTGAAAGATGGTGGAGGCCGCAGCAAACGTCTCGGACCTCCCACCACGCGTTAATCGCCGCCTCACCGACTACGGTTCATAATACACGGTAGGATAATAAGGACACGCTTCTATTGGGAAGTGGTAAATATGGGTGGGAGACAGGGGTCTCATAATTTTTCCCGCACGGCTCGCTTCCCCTCTTTTTCGCCCGTATTTCGATCCCCACTACTATTCCCCTCACGCGCCTTCGCGAAGCGAACCTATCAAGTACCAGTCCCCACCATGGTCGTGTCGTCCCCACTTTCCGGCCGAGGGATAAATTCTGAGACCCCTGGTGGGAGATGCGCAGAACGACCGAAAACTGAACCGTGCCGACTCCTAGTCACTCAGGAAATAGAATATACATCCATGATGTAAAAACATAAGTTGTGTTCTTGCGCATCCATTTGAACATCCATTAACACACCTTATGTTTTTACATCATCTATACATCCACCACCGTTCCCCGTTCCCCCTTTCCCCACTCGCCGGCAGAAATAAACCGATGGCATGAAACAGCTACGGGGGAACCACAGCGTTCGAAGATAACGAAACAAGGGCGAAGAAGCGGCGAGGTCTATCGAAGAGGATCATCAGGATTCTACTCTAAATCGAACGCGTGAGTTTACGTTGTAGCATTGAGCATTTAAGCGACGTAGACACACGTGTTGGACCTTAGAGCAGAATCTAGTGGCATCGTTCCGAGTCATCCATCGGTCGAAAGTGTTACAAAAGTACCAAGTATTATAAAAAAAAAAGAAAAAAGAATAGGCGACGAAAGAGGTGAACGGTTTGCCGCGTAATCGAACAGCCGATGAAATTCTCCTTACGCCATAACACACGAACGTCGGTTTAAAAAAGAAGTAGTGTCTTTCTTTGTCGTCTTTCGTCCTTTTATCGCTTTCTTTGTTGGCGTGGACGCTCTAACGGCGGTGCAGCACGGAACATCTGACAGCTTCGTACCCCGGTTCGGCGAGGAACTCCGCGGCCGGCTCGTTGGCGAGTTCACGAGAGAGCAGCGCGTCCCAAGGATCGACGCCATATCGTATCTTGATGCTGGGAGCTCCGGCCGTGGGCAAAAGCTCGCTGGTCTCCCAGTTCATGACGTCCGAGAATCTCCACGCATACGACACGTCGATCGGTAGGTCATCAACAATTCAACTCCTGAGGACTTAAAAATTGTCCTTCTTTCTGATAATGTTTCATTCTTCCAGACGACGAGTCGGGCGAGAAAACTGTGAGCGTTCTTCTAGCCGGGGAGGAATCCGAACTGACCTTCATCGACCTCTCTAGTGCCGACATGACGGTACGTTGTAACAGTGTGCTTATCGACTTGTGTGAATGGCGAGTTTCGCACGTGAACGCGCATCGTACGTTTCGTTGGAAATTCGAGCGATCGGAGAGATAAATCGAATGAATGGAGGAGCGTAGGCGCAGTAGAAAGATCGAATAAGAGGCGTAAGAGCAAGAAGAAGGGATAGGACGCGCGGTCGAACGGGCACGTAGCGTAAAACGTGTTAGCGAAGCTCGGTGAGACCAACCCTGAAGAATGATTGACAAGCATCGAACCGTAACTGTCGGTCAACCGTAAAACGGTCCAGCGATCGATCGAATCCCGGCGCGTCATTGTGGCCTCGATCGATCGCCTTCGTGCCTCGAATCGGTTTACGCGACCCACCCTTGTCCATCGCACCGGACGGGAGCGAAAGGTATTTAAAACTTACCACGAAATGTCGAATAAATTCGTACTCGATCGATAGTAGATGAACGCGTGTATACGTTAAAATTAGTCAAAATGAGGGGGTACATTAGCGGCAATCTTGTAGATGTGTAGGTGAATCGAGGTTTCTTTGCAGCCGGAAGCTTGCATAGCAGCGCACGAGCCACACGCTTACTGCGTCGTATACTCGACGACCGACCGATCTTCCGTACGAGTCGCAGAAGAAATTTTGCAAACACTTTGGCGCAGCGATTATATGTCGGCTCGGGCGGTGATCCTTGTTGGGAACAAAGCCGATCTTGTACGCTGTCGAATGGTTTCGACCGAAGGTAAGAATTAAAGATAAAAGATCCTCTTCTTAGAGATAAGAGGAGATATTACCATTGAGAAGAGATTACTAAAGAGTGGCAGTCTTATGGGACCTCCTGTGTGAAACAAAGACTAAACGTTGGACGTACGGAGATATTGCATAGAATTTTTGTTGTATCTGGAACTACAACTTTTGTTTGAAACATTTTTCATTTGGAAAAAGAAAATGTTTTTGTAATAAACAATTTTATTTGTTAATTAATTATTGATGCTAGTGAAAAAAATTTTATATTGAAGTCGTAAGTATTGACGTCCNCGCGAACGGTATTCCGATCGGAACTAAGAATTAAAATAAAAACGTGTATGCAAATTTTAGATTGCAAAGTGTAATGTGACAGTGGATTTGTAAAATGAAAAGTGGCAGTGAATTTGGGAAGTGTAAAAGTGACAATTTTTGTTTTGTGAAAATTTACCAGTGGGAAAGTGACAATGATCGTAATGATAAAGAAAAAATCGTCGGGTGCAGGTCATTGACTTTCTCCAAGCATCAGCTGCTGCGAGCCATGTGTCCTATCTTCGAGTGCCGAAGGTCGACCCATTGACCCATTGACGTTCTTCTACGAGCAGGTGCACTGACCAACGAAGAAGTAAGTTCAACTCTGATTTTTTTCGCATTTTTCATAATTTTACGTACTCTGTAATTTGTAAATTTCTTAGTTATTTCATTCAGTATGTTACATTCGTTCAGTGAACGTAATTAACGACTAATCTCTTTCTTTTCTTTCAAATTTAATCAATTTGTTAGTTCATTTTTGCATGTAACATTTCTTTCATCTTGTGCTCCCGTCACGAGCGCGACGTACGGGCGCGACAACGCACGAGGCGGTTACCTCGCTCCTGCCCGCCTTGTATACTCGCGCTCTCATTCGTCGAGAGTTTTTGTTAATAACTCGACTACCACGCCTCGAACAACTTTTTTGCAAAGGAAAAAGTTGTTTAAAATCACCATGGCTCCACCCCATTTCAAGGCCTAACACTAGTTCTGGGACACCCTGTATAGCCTATACATCCTTAACGAGTTAAAAGAAAATTGCATAGGATCTTTCTTGTATCTGCCAATTGTTGAACATCAATAAGTATTATTTACTCCGGTTGCAATATATTCTAGAGGACCTAAAAAATTGCAAATTTTTTAATGCGATACGAAGTACCATAAAGCTACCACTCTTCAGTAATCTCTCCTCAATATCCCTCCCCCCCTGACGAGGTTTGAATAATTCCTAGTTAACACTAGATTGCCCAAGGAAGTCGTTTTGACNTTCTTCTTCTTCTTCTCTCTCTTTCTCTCTCGCTTTCCGTCTTGGCTTTCGTTTCTGTTTTGTCATACTTGGATTGCTTCGGATTTTGCATTGCAGGGACCACCGCTCATCGGACCACGAACCAATCATTTGTTCTAATAGTTTCATTTATCCGGATTCCCTCTTCACTCTTCTTTTACTTTCACTCTCCCCCCCCCCACGTGCTTTATTTCCATCCCGAAAAACGATGTACGAAACATCAACAGGCATCGGGAATGCAAAAGAGAAATGGACCAACGAACAATCGATCAATTCGAAATAAAAATTTTCGCGAACTTTTAAACTACGAACGAGCCAGTTCACGTTCGCGTGGACCGGCTTCGGATATTCGACGTATATAACGACGCGAATAACGAGACTCTGACGCGCTGGAATCCGTTTGCTCGCATCCGATTTTACAATTAGTGTGAAACATCGTGACACGCGTACGCGTACTATATACAGACACCAACGCAGACACGAACGCTCGAGCGGTATGTAAAGACGAACGTTTTGTATGTTGAAATCCCTTTGTCCCGAGCGAGGGTATTTAATATTAGGTATACATGTAGCGTAAGCAAATGGAACTTTAATAGAACCGAAATGTTTAGATAAAGCGTAGCGTTTAAATAAGCGGTCGGATAGCTTGTTGAAAAGCGCCTATTTTACAGATTTTTTAACGCTTCAATAATAAAGTAAACGCAGAACAGATACCGCGGAATAGTATTGGAACTTTGTCAAGTATGGAGCGGCTCGAATTCGTCGTCAAGCTGTACATACAGGATGCCTCAAAACTAGTGTAAGAAATTAAAATGGCAGGTTCCTGACGTGATTTCAAACAATATTTTCCTTAGCGAAAAAGTTGTCCGAGGTGTGGTTGAGGAGTTATTAACAAAAGAAACCCGACCAATCAGAGCGCTCGGTTGACGCGAGCTTCCAATCGGGAGCGTTGGCTCGGACGCCCGGCTTTTGTCGCGTGAACCGCGAAGCGTTTTAAGAAAATGACGAATAATAAACTATATGAATAACAGTGCAAGGAAATTAATAACAATTAATATATTTAATCGTTATTCAAATGGAATGGATGGGGAAATGATAGATTGTTGATAGGCCGGGCGTCCGAGCCAACGCTCCCTATTCGTAGCTCGCGTCAATCGAGCGCTCTGATTGGTCGGGGTTCTTTTGTTAATAACTCTTCAACCACGCCTTGGACAAATTTTTCGCTAAGGAAAATGTTGTTTAAAATTACGTCAGGAACCTCCCATTTCGATATCTTACACTAGTAAGTTTTTGGGACATCCTGTATACATGTAGTTTTTGGGACATCCTGTATACATACTCATGCATATGTATGTGTTACGATTCCGCAATTACAGGACGGCGAGCACCCTCTTACTCTTTACTCACTCACTCACTCGTTCATCCCTTCTTTCGCTCTCATCCCTTTCTCTTCCTTCCTGCTGCGTACCGTGATGCAATCGCCTTATCGATCTCTCGTTTCCTTCCACGCCTGATATCGATTGCTTTCTGTAGCTGGTACTATTCAAATGCGAATCGGTACTGGAAAAGCTTGTATTAAAAAAGTGCGTATAGGAATCCGCGTTCTCCCGGCGCTCAGAATTCAAACGTTCGTTCAATTTTGAATGCTTCTTGAGAATAATTATGAGTAACTTCGTATTTTATTTTGTTACGTTAAGTTAATGAACAGGTGAAATTATGCTATTCCTTCTTTCGTCATTGATTTGGCTATTTAAGGTTGTATGAGCCATAACATCTCTGCCACAAGTTTAAGACTTGAAATAATGAGTGTCCAATATTTGCAATAATTACAGAGGAGTAAGGTTTATGATATTGTTCAACCTGTTTTTCTGAGTCATAAGCAATTTTTAACGCATAATTTTTTATATTCTAATATATAGTTTTGGTATTTTTTGTACGCGATTTGCAACTGTCTACGTTGTCTACATGTTCTATAATTCTTACTTTTACATACTTTTTATTGTATATCTT